AGCTTGAGGAAAGGTCAATACTACAATAAACTATTTAGAAGCAGCCGTGTAGAAGGTATAAAGTTCTAAAATTAGATGGGATGATTACGAGAGAGGGTATAGGCCCTGAAACATTATCTTAGAAGACACTTGTATTGAAAGGTTGAGAAGTAGAAGAGATGTTTTTAAAAAGCAGTAAATACATACGGTCAGAAAGATAAGATGGCAATGAAGACATAAAAGCAAAGTGGGAAGAGAAGGAAGGAGGGTGGTCGGCAATATCAGCCACCACAGAGTAATCAGAGCATCAAGATTAAGACAAGGAGACTGAATTTGGAGATTAGAAGATCACTGATGACTTGGGGGTAAGCAGATTAAGGAAAACAGGACGAATCAGAGTCAGCTGGCATCTGGGAGGTGGGGGAGCTGGGCTGTGAAAGATTGGTAGTGATGTGGAACTCATGAATATAAACTACTATAATGTTAGGAGAGCTAGTGGCAGTAACATGAGAAGGGCTGAATAGGAGACATCTTGCTGTAGACAGAGGGAAGGACAAGGTAGGAAGAAAATGACAATGGCAGGAAAAAGATAGACTAATAAAGGAACATGACCCCCGAGGAGGCAGACGGAAATAAGATGCAAGACCGGAGGTAGGAAGGGCAGTCCTGAGAGATGGGAGAGACTTGGTACCACTGGAAGAAGGACAAGAGATTATTTGCTTTTTATTTTTTCAAAATAGAACCTTTTTCAAAAGTTAAAAGCATAGAAAAATGAAGGTTGAATAGAGAAAACTGATGTTCAAATTGAAGGTCCTCAATTCTTCTTCTAGAATTTATTTAAGAAGGAGGCAAATTCGTCTATAGAAAGCAGAGGGGAAAATTTCAAGTCTAGAAGAAATATTTTAATTAACTGATGCAATGTTTAGCAAAAGTGTATTGAATTAGAGAATTCATTAAGGGATAAAATGAGCATCTTATTAGATCTTATCTAGAGACCCAATGGAGATGAAATTGCATGAACTTTTAACAGACCCCAACACTGGGGGTTCATGACTTTGGCCAGCTTCTGACATGAAGTTAATGGCACCACCCAGGGTTAGGAAGCAGCAGATTCTTCCTTCATTCTTATAGAGGAAGGTTGGATTCTAGAGGCCAGTGAAGATAATATGCAAACTCATACACTTTGCTTCATCATGCTTTGCAGATACTGTGTTTTACAAATTGAAGGTTTCTGACGACCCCACGTTAAACAAGTCTGTCAGCACCACTTTCCAACAGCATGTGCCGACTTCGCGTTTCTGTGTCTGGTCCCTCTCACACCTGCAAACTTTTTCATTGTTATTATATCTGTTGTGGTGATCAGTGATCTTTAATGTCACCACTGCAGTTGACTCATGGAACCACAAACCATGCCCATCTAAGACAGTGAACTTAATACACCTGCATGTTCTGACTTCTCCTCTGATGATCTCTGCTCCCATCTCTCTCTCTTCTCTGGGCTGCCTATTCCCTGAGACACAACAATATTGAATTAGGGCAATGAATACACCTACAGTGGCCTATACGTGTTCAAGAGAAAAGAGTATCTCTTCTTTAAAAGGTAGAAATGATTAAGCTTAGTGAGGAAGGCCTGTCAAAAGCCAAGAGAGGCCAAAAGCGAGGCATCTAGTGCCAACAGTTAGCCACATTGAGAATTCAAAGGAAAAGTTCTTGAAGGGAATTAAAAGTTGTATTCCAAGGAAATCAAATGATGCAAAACAGACTTCTTACTGAGATGGAGAAAATTTTGAGTGGTCTGGATAGAACATGCCAGCCATGAAAATCCCCTTAAGCTGAAGCCTAATCCCGAGTAAGACCTTAACTCTCTCTGGTTCTATAAAGGCTGAGAGAGGTGAGAAAGTTGCAGAAGAAAAGTTTGAAGCTAGCAAAGCTTGGTTCATGGGGTTTAAAGAAAGAAAAGCTGTTGATAAAAGTTCAAAGCGAAGCAGCAAGTTATCCAAAAGATCCAGCTAAGATAACGGACGAAAGTGGCTACACTAAACAACAGATTTCCAGGGTCGATAACAGAAGAGCCTTCCATTGGAAGAAGATGCCATCTAGGACTCTTATAGCTAGAGAGGACAAGTCAGTGCCTGGCTTGAAAGACGTAACTCTCCCATTAGGGACTAAAACTGTTGGTAACTTTATGCTGAAGCCAGTGTTCATTGACCACTCTGAAAATCCAGGGCCCTGAAGAGTTACGCCTAATCTACTCTTCCTGTGATCTATAAATGGAACAACAAAGCCAGGATGACAGCACATCTGTTTACAACACGACTTCCCACTACTGAGACTACTGCTCAGAAAGAAAGATTCCGTTGAAAATATGACTGCTTATTGGCAGTGCACCTAGTCACCCAAGAGCTCTGAGGGAGATGTACAAGGAGATCAGTGTTGTTTCATGCCTGCTAACCCAACATCCATCCTGTAGCCCAGGTATCAAGGAGTAATATCAACTTTCAAATCTCACATTTAAGAAATGCATTTTATAAAGCTACAGATGCTATAGATAGTGATTTCTCTGGTGAATCTGGGCAGAGTCAATTGAAAACCTAGCAACGATTCACCGTTCGATTAATATAGGCCATTAAGAATATTTGCAATTGGCTCGGCACCTGTGGCTCAAACAGCTAAGGCGCCAGCCACATACACCTGAGCTGGAGGGTTCAAATCCAGCCTGGGCCTGCCAAACAACGACGGCTGCAACCAAAAAAATAGCCAGGCATTGTGGCGGGCACCTGTAATGCCAGCCACTTGGGAGATGAAGGCAGGAGACTTGCTTGAGCCCAGGAGTTGGAGGTTGCTGTGAGCTGTGATGTCACAGCACTCTACCCAGGGCGACAGCTTGAGGCTCTGTCTCAAAAAAAAAAGAATATTTGCAATTAATGAGAAGAGGTCAAAATACCAACATGTGCAGGAGTTTGGAAAAAGTTGATTCCAACCCTCATGGATGACTTTGGGTGGTTCAAGACTACAGCGGAGGAAAGTAACTGCAGATGTGGTGGGAAAAAAGCAAGAGACGGAGCATTAGAAGAGCCTCAGATGGGACGGAATTGGTGCCACCTCGTGATAAAACTGCAAGGGGTGAGGAGGTGCTTCATATGGAGGAGCAAAGAAAGTGGTTTCTGAGGGGAATCTATTCCCAGTAAAGATGCTGTGAACGTCGTTGAAATGACAACAAAGGATTTAGAATATTGTATGAACTTAGTTACAAAAGCAGCAACAGGGTTTGAGAGAGTTCACTCCAATTTCGGAAGAAGTTCTGTGGGTGAAATGCTATAAAATATCCCTGCACACTACGGAGAAATCTTTCATGAAAGGAAGCATCAATGAATGCATTTCATTGTTGTCTGTTTTAAGAAATTGCCATAGCCACCCCCCTTCAGCAGCCATCAGTGTCAAGACTAGACCCTCTACCCGCAAAAAGAATTAGAACTTGCTCAACACCCAGATGATCATTGGCATTTTTTAGCACTATAGTATTTTAATCAAGATATGTACAGTGGGTTTTTAGACATATGCTATTGTGTACTCAATAGAACACAATAAAATCTAGGCACAACTTTTATGTGGTCTGGAACTCACCCTGCGGTCTCTGAGGTAGGCCTGTGCTGGCGTTAGTATAAGCTGAGCGATGAGGTAAGAGAATACTGAGAGGAATTCAGAATCTTAAGACTCATTTCAGTGTAGCACAAATTCATATCATCAGAAATGAGGAAATAAAGTGATTGTGATCAGAAAAGGGATGCCTGAAGTGTGAAGTATTGAAGTAAAATAGTTCCAAATCAAGCACACTATAAAATACCCTCTCTGAGGTTTTGGAGATGAAATAAGGAACTCTGAGGCCAAGTATTATGAGCCAGAATGAAAAATAAATGAATGTGGCAGGGAGTGAGATGGGGTGGACTGACAGGGCACCCACAGCGTCAAGACAGACGCAGTGCCATGGGGAGCTAATAAATAACAGGGCTCGGCCGTCCAGGTTCAAAGCCAGAGGTTACAGGAAGCAGAGCAGTAGTCTACACTGACAGTGGGGATAAGAATGTTTTTGAGACTGTTAGGATCTTTAGGGGCAGTTAAGGGAAAGAACTGGAAGTTCAGCGTGAAGATCAGTCTAAACCGCAGGACACTTCAGTACAGAACCGGAGGGAAGGTCATCTAGGAGTGACTGATAGAGACACAGGCACACAGACCAGGAAGAGAAGTGCTCTGTGGAATCAGAGATGTCACTGCCCCCCGTCCTATGCTTCTCTCATCTACCCTGTCACCCCTTTACAGGTGATGCTTCTGATCCTTAAAATAGCTTGTAAGATATTATCCTCATTTTACAGATGAAAAAATTTGAATCTTGTCCTGACCTCAAACTCCAAGGTCTTTCTACCACAACACACTGGCTCTCAGTGGTCTTGAAGTGTTAACTGCAGCTGCCAAGGACTAATTAGAAATCACGTCTAGACTCGGTGCCCGTAGCTTAGTAGTTAGGGCGCCAGCCACATACACGGGGGCTGACATGTTCAAACCCGGCCCAGGCCTGCTAAACAACAATGACAACTACAACAAAAAAATAGCCGGGCGTTGTGGTGGACACCTGTAGAGTCCCAGCTACTTGGGAGGCTGAGGCAAGAGAATCGTTTAAGCCCAAGAGTTTGAGGTTACTGTGAGCTATGACACCACAGAACTCTACTGAGGGTGATATAGTGAGACTCTGTCTCAAAAAAGAAAGAATGTCTAATTTTTATGTAGTGGGAATGGAACACAGTGTATTTCTTTGGGTTACTCTTGAATTATATTTAGTTCTAAAAAGTTTTCTGTGAGTTTATATATCTAATAATCTATTTTTTTTAAGTTTTTTCAAGAAAACTTCTTGGATCCTTTTTTTAAAGACATTAGGGAATTTCCACATACATTCAATATAAGCTCATTGAATTTCTGCAACTCAACTTTAAAACATTAGTTAATCTTTACGTTGCATTATTTTTCAGGTGTGAAAATGAAACCAAGTTCAAAACCGAAGACGTTTTCTGGGCTTACAATTTCTGCCCTACTCCGTATTCCTGGACTGCTCTTCTGGCCCTTATTTTATACCTTGTTTTCTTTGCACCTGGTAAACAAAGGCTTTGTTATTATTGTTGTGTTAAATTGCCTCTTTTTAGAGGCTTCAAGCTACTATTTTTTAAATTCCTTATATACTCTTTTACTAAATTTAATTTTTTACTTCTCAGGAATGGGACCAATGCCTTGGACTGTGAATTCTGAAATATATCCCCTTTGGGCAAGAAGTACAGGAAATGCCTGTTCATCTGGAATAAACTGGATTTTCAATGTTCTGGTTTCGTTAACGTTTTTACACACAGCAGAGTATCTTACATACTATGGTAAGAGAATGTTTTGTACAAGATATTTTCAGTTTTAATGATAAATACTATCACTTGTGATTGAAAGGCTACGTGGTTATATTTTTGCTGTTACAAATGTCTCCAGGTGGCTTTCTTATTCCACCACATGCCTGGGAAATGGATCTGGGGAAAGAAAAAAGTCTCCTTCCCTCAACAATATTGCTTCTTGCCCTCAGTGATCAGGGCTGTCGCCTACCCACTCTCTCAACCCAAACATCTCCCAGTCACCTCCCCCGGGAGTTGGAAATCGTTACAGCATAGCTTTTAGTTTAACAAAGAAAGATAAACAATTTAAAAAATGGTAAAGAGATACAGGCAGGGCCAGTGACATGTCTTACGATAGAGATGGAGTCAAGTCCAAGAGCAGAATCAGCAGAGCCTGGAAAGCTTGCCCAGATACCTGCAGGTGTGATTGCTGTGCGTTTGCCTTCCATCCATCATCTGTGCTGTTCAGGCCAAGGCTGTGCGTGTCAGCGTCCTCTGGGACCAGCATTTAATGCTTCCCAACTGTAGATGTGATGAAAGTGTTCAAATGAAAATGGGTGGAGACCACGCTTCAAAGAAAACAGTAGTATTAATAAATGGCCGTTCTACAAAAATACTTCGGAGAGCTACTCCAAATCCATTTTTACTAAGGTGAAAAGACTTTTTAGATACACCATTTCTGGCCAGGTGTGGTGCTTCACACCTGCAATCCTAGCACTTTGGTAGGCTAAAGCAGGCAATGACTTAAGGCCAAGAGTGCCAGACCACCCTGGGCAACACAGTGAGATCCCTGTCACTACAAAAAATAAATAAAGAAATAAACTTGGACTTGGCATGGTGGTGTGGGCCTGTAGTTCCAGCTACTGAGGAGGCTGCAGCAGGAGGATGGCTTGAGCCTAGGAGTATGAGGTTGCAGTGAGCTGTAATGATTCCACTGCACTCTAGCCCAGGCAACAGAGTGAGACAGTATCTCAGAAAAATAAACAAAAAAGAGAGAGCATTCTACATTGTCCATATGACATAATGAAATGTGAGCTTTTCATTACAGCTTCCCCGTCAGCTTCAGTGGTCTATGTGGAATGCCTATTGCTTGTACTATTCTTCCAGAAGACCTTCTCTGATCCCCTCCTCCACCTCACCTCATCCTATGCTCTGGGCACTTATTAATTGCTTTTTGCAAGAACAGGTTTATTTATCTGTTTCCTCCCCTCCCCTCACCTCCCACTGTTAGACTATAAATCCCTGGAGGGCTGTCTATGCTTTGCTCACCATTATATTCCCAGTTCTTTCCAGGGCAATCTGTTCACCTGGTAAACACCCCAAAGTGTTCATCAAATGAATAAAGCAAGCCAGGCTCAATGGCTCATGCCTGTAATCCTAGCACTTTAAGAGGCTGAGGTGTGTGGATTCCTTGCGCTCAGGAGTTAAAGAGCAGCCTGAGCAAGAGCAAAACCACGTCTGTACTAAAAGTAGAAAAAATTAGCTGGAAGTTATGGTAGGCACCTGTAGTCCCAGCTACTAGGGAAGCTGAGACAAGAGGATCACTTGAGCCAAGAGTTTGAGGTTGCTATGAGCCACCCAGGGTGACAGAGTCATACTCTGTCTCAATAAAAGAAAAGAAACAGAATAAATAGATGTATGAGTTTTGTAGATGAATTTATGGAAACATTATAAAAATCCATTTCTTCTCTCTTCTAAACATGCTGAATTAGTATTTACTTTTAGTTAATACTATTTATCTAGTGCTTTTACTATCTTTTTATAAAACTACTCTCTCCCAATCACTAGTGAAACATTTAGAAATATTTATTTTCCTGTAAAGGGAAGGCATTGGCATTTTAAACTTGATGTATATTTCTGCTTTATCCCATTTGGTAATTAAAATTTTTACATAAATTCATGAACTTCATGATATAAATATGAGTATGATAAATACTTCAGTTTACTAATTCTTGAGAACACTTAAATATTTGAAGACCTCAGTGTATATTTACATCCTCAGAAAAGCATGTTTTATAGAAAGTCACAAATATGGAAAGTCTACATTATAATACTATTGATCGCAAACACAAGGCAACAGAAGTGCAATTTAAATAGGGCATATGCAGGCATCTTTTCAGAAATACTTGGTTAGCTTTTTGCTTTGCATCTCCGCGCTCTTTATATCAGTGCGCTGATGGAGTCGGTCTGTTACTCCTTAGTAGTGGAAAGACATTTGAGTTCTGGTTAGTTTTTCCCCTTTTCATGTGACATTCTAATCTACCTATTACTGATGTTATTGTAATATGTACATGGAAGCTATGTGTTTATATTCCTGATGGAACAGATATATATCCTTAGGGTGTATTTCTCTGGAAATATCCTTGTTGTCTTTTGCTGTCTCCTTTTTTTATTGTTTTATCTTAAGAGCTCAAATTTTGATTCCTTCTTAAACTGCTTAGATAGGTTTGCCTCTGCCCCATTCAGTAATGTTTATTAGTAAAAATTACCATTCAAGTATCCCCAGTATATCATTTTTATATAGCATGTGTAGCTAAATAGATCCCGTAGATAATATTATATAAAAGTTCTTGCTTTGTGGTAATGAAATTCAATCAAACATGATCATTGAGTCCCCAATTTGTATAATTCAGTTAAATGTTTGTTTTAATCTATAACTTAAGACTCTGATAAGATTTCTTTCCTTTAGAATAAACCTGGGGAATATTCAACAGTCTTGAAAAACTCACAACAGACATTTTTGGTTTTTCATTTTCATTCCTGGGAGAATACTTGGAAAGTTATATTATTGATTTTACCATGAGTAGGTACCACAGAGTAGGTCACAGCCTCCTGCTCCTGCCCACACTCCTCTGTGGCTTGCCCGCAGATCTCACCAGCAGAACCCATACTGAGCAGGCAGTTTTGACATTTGCCTGCTTTAGAGTCCTCAGATTTTATAAAAAGGATCTTGTATTTTAATAGAATATTTTTGATAATTATTCAGCTTTGGAAATCTGGATCACAAGTAAGAATCTGTAATCAACTTGAAGAATCTTTCTAACCCATCTAACTGTTAACTATGGAAGTTTAGCACTGACAGATTGATTTGTTACTTCTAATTATGTCACTTTTCCCAAATTGCAAAAGATGAGGGTAAAGATAAAATATATTACATTTATAAAGCCGCACTGGGTTTGCTCTGTTACAGGTCCGGTCTTTAGTTTTTCCGCCTGCGCCTACCTCTCTGCAGCCTTATCATGATTACTGTCCCTTATTTGCCCCTCTCTGCTAAACATTCCATTTCTGTTCCTACTTCACAGTATTCTTCTTTCTTAAAAAAAGGTTATGGTGAACCAAACCGAAATGAAGGAGCCTTGTATTTCTAAATAGCTAGATTTTTAATAAGCAAAGCAAATTTGAATTATACAAATCCAGCTCCTTAAAGAGTTATCACGGCTCTGACAGATTATGTCTTCAATTAGTTTACGCTTTCCTGTCTTTCCTGATGTCTCGTCATCTGCCTCTGTTTCCCGTCTGTTTTCTCACGGCTCCTCCTTCCACAGAAGAGTCTCTCTTTGGGTGGTTCAGTGGCATCTTTCCTCCATAGTTTTCCTTGAGCCTTTCCAAAATTTGTTTGCACGGATGGCTATTCTGGCAGTGGTTCCTCACTAAGAAAGTATTCTTCATATGTCTTTCTCTTACTGTAATGATGCGGCAGAATTGAGAAATGTTGCTCAGTTCTTTAAGTTTTATGCCTATTCAGCATAAAGTGTGACTTTGAATATATTTTTATGTTGTCTGGTTTAGCCCTTTATTTCAGATGTACTCAGCGTCTCCCATCTGACAGTTGACAACGAGCACATTTATTCTCCATACCAGTATTTTTCAACCTCGTTTATCTTGCGGCACACTTGAACCTACAGCTAAACTTCCACAGCACACTTAAATCATGTTGATCAAAAACATTAGAGCAAAAAAAGGAATATACTCAATGCGCTTTGAACATCTTTTGAAACTAATTTAATTAAATGATCCTTAAAAACGTTCATGGCATATCAGTTGGAAATCATTGTGTTATGCCACCCAGTGTGTGAGGGCCAGGCACTAGGAACCCACAGACAAACCACAGACTCGGCCCTTGCAGAGACCACTCTTGCCACTGAAATAGAAGAGCAGCTCTCCCTCGCAGGCATCTCCTAAGCATCCCTCCTGTTCCTGCTCCTGATTTTGACTAAGGTTTCTAGAATCATAAACTGCCAGCACTTAACTAGGAGCTGAGAAACCATTTTATTTTACTTAATGAGGCATCTGAGGCCCAAAGAAGAACTTAAGTGACTATTTAGAAGTCATACAGCCAAAACTTAATCCCACATCTTCTCATCTCTTGCAAACTGGTATCCTTTCTCCAGCCATTTGTCACATCAGTTTTTCATCTTCCTTCCCCCATCTCATTTACAGGATAGTGTGGACGTGAGGCCTAAAATTAGGCAGGAACTCCATTATAGTTAGCTGCTTTTCATTATCAAAAGAAAAAGTATGGGCTCTTGTATGTAAGTTGGGAATTGGTATATAAAGGAAAGAGTTTCTTAGAAATACGTAGAGAATATAAACTAGTCATACAGCCACTTATCTCATCCATCTAGGCTTGCTGTATTGACACTTAGAATACAACCAGATATCAATGATATTTTATGTTTGTTGCTGTGCTACACTCATATGTATAAGCTTACAGCAGAACATTCCCTGACCTCACAGAGCTTACATTCTAGTGGAGGGAAACAGAACACAAATCAGTAAATACAACACGGTATCAGATGGTGATAAGTGTGTAGTGAGGGGGAGAAAATGGACCATGGGGCTCCAAGAGAAGGAACGAGGAGATCAGTTACGAGACTCTTGGAACAGTCCAGAGGAGAGAGGGTGGCTCTCAAACCACAGATACTTGTTGAAGTGGTGAGCAGTGGTCATCTTCAGGTTACGTTTTAAAGGTAGATGCAACAGGATTTCCTAACAGGTTGGATGTTGGATATGAGAGTAAGAGAGTAGTCTAGGAAGACTCCTCGACTTTGGGCATGAGAAACAGGACAGATGTGCTTACCATGTACCCCACCGAGGCATTAATTCAACAGTGTCATCATTGTACTTGGTTCTGGCAACACAAGATGAATAAGAAATGTCTCCTGACCTGAAAGTGCCTCTAGTCTGGAAACATGTATGTGCACCTGATACTTCTTGGTGCACATAGAGGTCCCCCTATAATAGGGATCTCAACAAAGTGCGGCAAAAGCTTGTTAAAGACGGTAGTTCCCTGAAGTCAGGGAACTGAGGAAAAGCTTCAAAGCAGAACTTAATCTGACCACTGTCTGTTTTTCTTGAGTTTGGCATTACGTGACTTGAGTTTTTAAACGTGAGTTTAGAAAGATAAATTGTATTACATTCCCAGGGTTAGAATACTTAGAGTAAACCAGGCTGGTAGTAATTTTTTGGTTCCGTTTGATACCGTGGTTATACATGATGGACAGGAAGAATTGTCAAAAGCGATACTGCTTCTTACACATTTCTTTTCCATTGCAGGAGCCTTCTTCCTCTATGCTGGATTCGCTGCTGTGGGACTCCTTTTCATCTATGGCTGTCTCCCTGAGACCAAAGGGAAAAAATTAGAGGAAATTGAAACCCTCTTTGACAACAGGCTATGCACATGTGGCGCTTCAGATTCTGATGAAGGGAGATACATCGAGTATATTCGGGTGAAGGGAAGTAACTACCATCTTTCTGACAATGATGCTTCTGATGTGGAATAATTCTCAGCTACTGATATAGTTATTTAAACAAACTTGGGGGAGAAGAACAGCAAATTGATGACTTCACTGCCGTGCTTCTAATCTGGTTCTTTCTACAGTCTAGTTTTGAATGACTTCATATTCTAGAATACTTGATTAGGAAGAAGATATAATCGTGATGACACTTTTTTTCATGAGCAGGTATATAAAAATATATATATTTACAGAGATTTTAATCTAATAGTTCTTGAGCAAATGTGTGTAATCCCCTCCTGAGATAGTCTAAAATGAATACTGTACCCAGTGACTTAAGTGTTAACCTTTTCTAAGACCATATATAATTTTAGTGGCAATAGAGTGAGTGCTTATCTCAACCAAATTATATACGTATGTCAAAAAGAATTCTTTCACATGACATTCTCCACGTGAAAATGAACATTCTGGGAGATGGTCCAATGGTGTTCCCTGTCAAAATGTGGCCTATTGGCCCTACATTTCCCTAAGAGTAGTGACTTACCTGGATCAGCTATTAGAAAGTAAATTCCATTTAAGCTTTCATCAACCAAACCAAAAGTGCTTCCTCTTTTGGAAGGGCACAGCTGTCCTCTTCTCCTTTGGATTCCACATTTTTATTTCTCTCAATTCAGATATTAAAGAATTCTTTAGATACTGACTCTGCACAGGATCTTATGAACGTATCAAAAGCAGATCTTTTAGGAGTTATTTACATACCTATTTTTTGCATCAGTTATACATATAAGTTATTTGCACAGATAAGCGAGCAAGTTTTGATAAGTACATTTTATTGTCAGAAGATAACAAAGAAAAGACTTTTATGGATTCCTGATTGGTTAGTCCCTTAGGTCCGCAACTATAAATGCAAAATAGTGCCAGATATTTAACTTATATATCAGGGTCAGTTTTTGTTCATGCCAAAATCACCACACCTTCCTCGTCGGCTCTGGAGTCCTAATTTGTGCCTTCATTTGTGTTATATAAATAGCTGCATGCAAACTATTTTTCCCTTACTTGTAGTCAAAAACTAGTTTCAGAAACAAAAA